GAAGAGCTGCTTTGGTTAGGACAAGGGAATGGAGAGGAACATTATTGTTTTCTAAGGATGCTCTGAAGCTCCAAAGGTAGAAGGAAACTGTGGCAAAACCACCAACTTTAGGGAATGATCAGTGGTGAAAAAGAATTTGGGTGCTATCACACTGGAGACCTACAACCATCTATCAAAACCTAAAAGCAAAGGCTTGGTGAACAGGATCATCTGAAACCCTCCCTGGACAGGTCATTTCCCTGTGATTACCATCTAGGTATCTGCTTGGGAAAGCAGGGAAGAAATCCTTTGGATGTTTTTGACCTAAGAAAAACATCTCTTGGAGACAGGAAGAGTAATGATTTTGTGAATGTGGGTTACTCATTATGGGGAACACAATTCTTCAGAGGGAAGAAGGGAAAAAGAAGGAAAATGCAGAAAACAGGAGTGAAGGAGAAGTAGCATTCCCTTTAAAGTGAGCAAATGCAACGTACCTGGGAAGGCAAACAGCACAGTGTGGACAACCCTGGCAAAGCCCCAAGTTCTTTCTGTGCCCATGATCCATGTGAGCAGGGAGGAAGTGGAGCACGGGTCAGAGAAGGGATCACACAGGAGACAACACAAGCACATGGGGACAGAAAACCAAAAGAAGTGCCAGAAAGGCCACAGTTCCAAGTGAAACAGGAGGGATGAAGGTAACAAGTCAGGCTTCAGGAAGAGAAACTACAGGACAGGCTGCTCAAGAAGGACAGTTATCAGAGGACACCACCACCAACAGTGGTTTATGCTTCTGGGCACCAGTGCTCAGCCCAAGGCTTGCTCTGGGATACGGGCAGCAGCAAGAAAAAGCTTGGACTATTACTGTGAAGAAACTCAGACTGCTGAGGTTTGAAGCAGGCAGAAGCTGCCCTAGGCTACTGCCAAGAAAGGCAGACAAGCTGCCAACAGCTTCCACCAGCCCAAAATCTGTGGAGGACCAGGTTATCAGAAAAGGGCGCAGTAAGAGTCTACCTTTAAATAAAGGAGGGGGAAAGGAGATGTTAAAGAGAAGATTTTAACCTGTCTAATGGAAAAACAAGAGGAAATCACTTTGCAAACAGCCTGTAAGCTGCTAGAAAACAACATCCATAGCAACCAGCATAAATCTGTCAAGAGCAAGTCACGTCTAGCTGGTTTGACTTTCTCCTGCAACAGAAGAGAAAGGCCTCAGGCAAGGTGCAGCAGGAGGCAGCCTGGTTTTAACTCAGCTTTTGGCACAGCCTAATTTAGACTTGTGTGAGGAGATACCCATTAGATAACACTCTTCTATGGAAGGGGCAATACTGATTAAAAACACACCCCTGATTCAGGTGCAGGAGTTCACTGCACAAAAACAGAGTAAGAACAAGGTGGGCTCAGCTTGATACTTCATTATTGGCCTGGCATCTTGACTCCATTTACTGACCCCACCAAGCCATGCTAAACATGCTTGGGCTCAAACGAAGGAAATACAGCACCAGGAAATCCAAGGAGGACAAAAGCAAAGGGCAAGGCAGTGCACTCCAGCAGCAGTTACAGGGTGGTTAAGTGCAGGGCTGCTTTTTGCACGTGAAGGGAAGGGAACAAGCTGCTGTCCCTCATCGAGAACCTTCCAAAGACTCGGGTTAGTAGCAGAGCTTTTTCTTCTCTGCTCTCTTGCTTCTGTAACCCTCTGGCCTGCATGGGCAGCTGCATTATGTATGTGAGGCTTTAGTGCTGCTAAAGGAATCACTCCACCTTGCTGAATGCACTCAGGACTCAAAGAGAAAGTACCTGTAGTGTCAGAAAGAGCTAACAAAGGTTTCGAGCCCATAACTAGGCTGTTTCTGTAACTCCTGATGGCAAAGCTAACTTCCTTGAACACAAATCCAACAGTACACAGAGAAAGAAGAGCCAGACCAGCCCTTATATAAAAGGTATTTTCAAGATAACAGCCAGCCAAGATGTACTTCACCTTTGATGAACCCGAGAGAGAGATGGGAATGAAGAATTGCAAGACAGGCAGGAAACTGGCTTGGGAGGAGGCAGCGAGACAAAATACCAGGTTGGGTCACTGCTGGTGTTCTGCAGGATGGACAAAGTACATCAGCTTAAGAAAGGTCTTGACACAGAAAGCAGGACAATAGCTGGCACATAAAGCTGCTCCTGAGAGCTGGAGTGACAAAAGCAGGATGAAATTCAATGGAATAAAAGGTGAGGTCCTCAGGACTGACCTCCTTACGTGGCTCCTCTGCACTGCTTCGAGGAAAGGATATGCTTGCCAACAATCCTCTACCAGAAGCCAGTCCTGGGTGAGGAAAACCTCCCAGTCTTTGCCACCCACATGAAACAAGGGATTGATGCAAGGGAAGGAGCTGTTGAGGTTTGCTGAAGGAATAAAGGCACCTCAGGGGAGGGCTGATCAGCACATTCCTCCCAGACACCCAGATCACAATCTCAGCCTTTAAAAAGTCTTCTTTGAATTCTTGTTTTTTAGCTTCTCTTCTTAAATCTCTGCAAACAGAGACGTTTTCACCCACATCATCCTGCTGCCTTCTCAGCAACAGTGGGGACACAGCCCTCAGGCCACCGAAATCCGTGCGCTAAGCATCAGGTGGGTCACAAAAGCCCAGTTTGTTAGATTTCTGCTGAAGAAACTCGCTGAGCTATGCCTTGCATTTGCTAATTAAAGCCAAGGCTTCGCAAGCTCCTTCCTCTTACTCACCCCAGGCATCTCTCACTCACCTCCTGCCTCCAGACACCACCAGGGGGTTCAGGGGGAGCTGCTCCTTGAGGCACAGTCCTGCAGGACGCCAGCCTGTGCCGAACGTGCTTCATGGTTTTGCTCAGCTGTGTTAGGAGGGAAGGTGAAGAGACAAGAAGTTGTCACCAACTGCTTTCTGTGCAGGCAGCACCAAAGAGTTCAGCTGCAATGAAGAGATCCCCCAATGTGCCCTGCTCTGAGTGCTTTAGTGCTTTAGCAAGGGATACAAGCTTAACACACAATGAGCTTCACAAACAGGCATCAGGGAACCCACAACCCGAGGTGATTTCCAGAGCTGTCCCAATGCACTGAAATCCCAGTCCAGGCAAGGTAAAAGGCTTGGTTACAGATCATCTGCTCCCAGACCGTGTTGCTGTGATGCCAGAGGCCCCAGATTCCCAATTGTCCCACTCAGTATCCAGCCAGAAGAGATTCTCCACCCCAAGTGGTGCTTCAACTGGAACAACTCCAGCTTCTCGGTGAACAAACTTTATGAAATGCCAGATGCAGCATAAGCATCACTATTAGAAAGCTTTAAACAGTCCCAAAGGCAGGTTTTCCAAGATCCCACATTCCTGGTGCTCAGGAGATCAGATGCAATGAGGTGGCACCACCTAGTGTCACCTATGCGACACAACACAGCAATAAGTCTGCATGGGGAGGGAAAATCAACGGTATCCATAGAATCATAGAATGGTTTGGGTTGGAAATAACCTTCAAAAGTCATCTACTCCAACCCCCTCCAATGAGAAGGGACATCCTCAACTAGGCCAGGCTGCCCAGAGCCACATCCACCACCTTGGATTTCTCCAGGGATGGTGCTTCCACCACCTCTCTGGGCAACCTGTGGCAACAGAGTGGATTAGGAATGTGCTGGAAAAGGAAACATTGCCCTCCTTTCAAATCACTAGCATCCAGCCTGAGGAAGCAAGGCTGGAAAACCCAGGAAAGGAACCACTCACCTCAGCAGCGTGTTGCTGGAATGGCTCATCCTGCTCCCCTTGCCATGGCACCGAGATGGCACGAGGAGCACTGGGAATGCCGATGGTGGATGTGGGATGGCTCCGAAACAGGCACGTGTTCATCCTGGTCCAGGGCAGCGTGGAGCCTGAGTACTGCACAGCCACACAGCTCTCCCGCTCTGCCTGCAGGACACAGTTATGGATAATGGGACATAACGTCCACCATGAGGGTGGTGAGGTCCTGGCTCCAGGGAGACCTTAGAGCAGCTTCCTCAACAGCTACAAGAAAGCCAAAAAGAGGCTTTGGACAAGGGCCTGTAGAGCAATCTGCTCTAGTGGAAGGTGTCCCTGCATGTGGCAGCGGTTGGAACTGGGTGAGCTCTAGGTTCCTTCCAACCCAAACTATTCCATGATTAACATATGCTGCATGGGAGCTGCTGGCTCACTTTGGTGGCATTTCTTGGGATAGACACGAAGAGCCATCACACACTGGAGGGTTTTAGTTTGGAGGAGTGCAAGCGGAGTGATGTGAGCACATCCTCGCCCAACCATGCTCCCAAGCCATGGAAAAAGCCCAAACACCCCAGTGACAGCCCAAACCGCTGACGTTCCAGTGCATTCCCTTCTTGCTCCACAGTCAGTTTCTGGCAAGACTCCCTGGCAGTTAAAAATAAAAAGGATTGAATATATTCACAAGGATCATCTAAAACAAGCCCATGGGGGTAAACTGGAATGTGGAGACAGCATGGAAGTGCTGCTTGTGAACTAGTGTCTGCCTTGAAAAAGGGAACAGCAGGAATAAGCTGCTTTAAGTGCAACCAGGAGACATCCACATCCTTCACAGTTCTGGCTACAGTTTAACTGCATGCCCAGGACACCAGGACTCTGCTGCTTCCAGGAAAAGCAGTGACCTTTCTGCAGGGAGGCAAAGGGCTTAAAGCTCCCTGAGTACCAGAGCCTGACAGTGTCACATTGACCTTGTTCAAGGGGACACTGCCTGTGGCCACGGGGTCTGCTGTGACCACCAGTTTCTCATTTATCTTATGAGCACATTGACCTGAGGTCTGATGGGGGGTTTTTCCCTCTGATTTCAGAGTTTTTCCTGAAGGCCCCTGGCAAGGCAGGGATGGAGATCTACTTACTGCTTCACAGGACCTCTGCAGCTGCAGCTTCCTTCTCATCCTGACCTGCTGGTTCACCCTCTGCTTTACCTCACCCTGGAATCGCCTCAGCCTGGCTGCCTTCTGCTGCTGCTGCTGCTTCAGCTCCTCCTCCACCTGGAAGGCTGAAGCCTGTAAGAGGTGAAAGCAGATTTCCCATGATTTTTGCTCCTATTCCATCTTCCCTTCCTGCACCTGCAGCCACAAGCAGCACCCGGAGCAAACTTTGATGTTTTGCTTTAGAATCTGTGCAACAGCTTGGAGAACACCTACTGGATTATGATGAGCTTGGATTGAACCTAGCTGGGCAGTGTGCACACCTCCTGCTTCAACTGCAACACACAGAGAAAGAAGGTGACAGCCTCATCCAGCAGCTCCCAGCTCCAGTGAAAGGATGCTCAGATACTCAAAGCCCAGATCCAAAAGGAGCAGGCCAGCCTCTGATCCCATTAATGCTGGAAGCATGTCAAGGAAGGAGCTTGCAGAGGAAAGGCTCTGAAGTAAAAGATTAAAAGCAATGACCTAAATGAAATAAATCAATCAGTTGGGTTATTTTCCCAGGTTCTCACTTGAAGCCATGCCAAGGAATTCTGCTGATACCACTATGGCTTAAGGAAAACCGGCATCGCTCTTCTGACTGTCACTGCAGGAAAACCAGAGTCTGAAGTGATGGAGAAAAAGGGGGGATCTGAAATCAGCTTGGGGTTGGATGGTCCCCACATCCCACTGCCTGCCAGGAATGTGACCAGCACCACAGCAAGGTCAGAACAATTAAAGAGAGCACTGAGTCTGGGAGAAACCTGTGCTGTTGGTGGGGAAACCACTACATAAACCCTATCCCCATCTCGCTCTGTTTCCTTTTGACAACCTCAGCAGCAGTTCTGATGCAGGAAGCATGAACAGGTATGTTTTTAATACGATCTGCTGGCTTATAGAAGTATCTCCAATAAGCTCCACTAAGCCTTGCACCTTACAGAAAGCCCAACACCAGGGGAGGACCTGGAGTTCCAGAGCCCTCCAAGCAGGCAGGAAAAGTTGGGCTCCCCCGTTAGTGTGAGATGGAAGTTGTGTGGAATATGGAGATGATTCATTTCCATTTATTATCTCAACCTTTCAGGATTTAAATGACAATGTAGAAATAAATCACCTCCGAAGGGCAGTAGCTTGTGGAACGTTTAGACATTAATTACAGGGGACTGAACTCATCAGCTTGGATTTAATGCGCTTTAAGTCCTCTTATGATAACCCTCAAAGCAGGAATCCCTGAGATCAGCATCACTAAAGACATTCTGGAGTGTTTGTAACAGTGCACAGCAGAGGCTGGCTCCAGTCTCAACTTCGTTTTACTTTTAAACCAGCAACATGGGATAAAACCTCATTCACCAACATTCTTTATGGATAAACAGGAAAGCAGAGAATTGATACAGGGAGGGGTCAGGAGCAGCACAGGCACCTCAAATGCAAAGCTACAAGCATGGAATTCCAAACCTGGCGCTGATGAATCAAGGAGCAGCCAGGAATAGTGAGGAAGATTCATGGGGGGGGCACAAACCTCCTGAGTTTTAGCTGTGCTGCCAGCACTGAAGGCAGCTTCTAGTAACAGGTTGAAAACCCACAGCCCCAGCTAAAACGAACAGTGTAGAAAGCACAGTATGGATGATCAGGGCATCAACAGCAGCTGATGAGAGCACTGCCCGGATCCCCACCTCACTGACGGCTAAACCCAAAGTGTTACTAAAGAAAAACCCGGTTCATTCGAGGGGAATCAGCTCAGGGAGATGCTGAGGGCTTGTGTGAACGAGACGCCAGGCCACATGGACACCGTGGTGGCTTCTGACCCTCCTGAAAGCCATTAAAACCTATTAATTCCTCCTAGGAGCAGCGCCCTGGCTGCCTTCAGAGGGAGGAAAAGCTCACGGGCAGCTCCATTGCCCCCCCCCCGGGGTTTAGTGGCACAAGCAAGGGGGAGAGCACCCACAGGACCCCCAGCAGCACTCACAAAGGCCAAGCTCTGCTCCGGGCCCACCGGGGCACTTTCCACCCAGGCACCCACAGGGGCCACGGGGGGATTCCTCTGGGCCAGCACACGGCAGCTCCGATCCTTCCAGGGGGATGGCGGCATCCTGGGATCCTGTCTGGAGACTGGGAAAGGGACTATAGGATCAGTGTGTCACCCCCAGAGCCTCCCACTCCTTGCACAGCCCCTGCACCCCCATTCCCCATCCCTACCACTCCCCCCCCCATAGCCCAACCCGTGCACCCCCATTCCCCACCACTACCACCCCCCCCAGCACCCCATAACCCCCCTCCTCAGCCTCCGGGCACCCCTCCATACCGCTCCCTTCACCCCAAATTCCCCTTGTACCTCCCCGTTACCAACCGCCACTTCCGCCCCAGCCGCCACTTTGAATGCCGGCGCCACTTCCGCCCCCCAGGCCCCGCCCACAGCCCCGCCCCAACAAGATCTGAGGTCTCGGGTTCGCGTCCCGCATCGGACAAATAATGCGGGGGGGTGAAGTGCGGGGGTGTGTGGTGTGACCGCTGTCCCCATCACAGCACCCCCAAAAACAACCTCGTGAGCATTCCTGACCCTCCCTAGAATTCCCCTCACCCTCCCAAAATATCCCTATAGTTTCCCCCGAGCATCCCTGAACCTCTCCCAGAGCATCCCCGAACCCAACCAGAGCATCCCCAGGACCCCCTCCAAAATATCCCTTTATCCTCCTCGGGGCGGGGGGGATGGAGGCTGATCCCTCGTCACTGGGGTGATGAGCTTGGCAGGTCTCAGGGGGGGTGGGAAGCGGCTCTGGGCATCCTGCCCTGTATCCCGGCTGCCCTATTCAGTGATGCCCGGGGAACGGCACTAATTGGCACCGGAGCTGGAATGAAGCCTGGATGCAACCACAGCTTCACTTTAAAGCCTGGGAAGAGGAAAATAGGGAAGGGGGAACCCCACTGGGAGAGGGGTGCTCATCCAGCTTTGTGGAATGATCCCCCAAATATAATCCCCAGTGCTCAGAGACTTTAAACCCACTGGATTATCCACAGCAGAGATGGCAAGCCTTAACCAGGCTCAACGGGGTGATGCCCCCGACATTGAGAATCTTCCTGGAAGTGGGAAAACATGGAACTAGGGGGGGAAAACTGCGAATCTGAGTGTTTTGCCCCCAAATAAATGTCAGCTCGAGGCCGCCGGGGAGGCGAAATCCACCAGGACACAGGGCTCTATTGAGAAGGGCAAGAACAACAACAAAAAAAGAAGGGAAAAAAAAGAATTTATCCGGGCGGAACGCCAAGCCGGGAGCTCCGCGGGACGTGCCCGGAGTTGGGAAGCGGAGGGATTCGGGGGGCGAAATGTGGGGAGCGCCGGCCGCCCCGAGGGGCCACCCCGGTCCCCCCTGCTTGCTGCTCCTGGCTCTGCACACAGGTAGGGGTTTTTCCTGTTTTCCCATAGGTTTTCCCCGTTTTCCCATGTTTTTTACCCTTTTTAACACGGTTTTCCCCATTTTCTCTTGGGTTTGGGGGGTATCTGGATGGAGGATGCTGGCGGGGGGGTGATGAGGGTGGTGGTACCCGATGAAGGGACGGTTGGGAGGGGTTGATGAGCTGTTGAGCACTCCCTTTGCTTGGGAAAAGGGGAAAAGAAGGGGGAATTTTTGGAGGAATAAAAACTGGGAAAAACACTTTTCCAGGGCCAAACAGATCCTGCTGGGGGGTGGTTCCACCACCCCTACCCTCCCCAAGCTTCTTCCCAGTTTTTCATCTTCCCCCAAGCCCCCTTTTCCCCTTGTTTTTTTTCAGCATTCCCAATTCTATTTTCTTACCCATCCCTCAGATTTCCCAAAAAGCCCATTTCTCATCCCATTTCCAGCTCTGCTCCCCACCCCACTGAAACCTCCATCTTTTATTCCCTAAAACCCCATCTTTGGGGTTCACTGAGTCCCAAACTGCCCCATCTCACATCTGGAAATGCAGAATATCACGCACAGCAATTCTGCACCATTTTACTGTAGTTTGGACCCAAATCAGCCGTGGAGAAGCCCCGTTTCCCTGCGGATGAGCCAAGGGAGTTTTCCAAAGCCACTTTTGCATTTTGCCAGCTTGGATTGACACCCAAAAAAACCATCAGGACCCTCCACAATTGGCTTTTTCTGCAACAAATAGGGATTAATTTGGGAAAATAGTGGGAAAATTAGGAGTTTTGATGGGTTTTTCAGCCAGAAAAGGTGAGAGATCTCCATCCCTAAGCCAGGAATGCTATAGGAAAGGGGAATATTGCCTGATTTATTAGTTAGCTCCCAAAATCATTACCAGGAGCAGGGCAAAAATAGCAATTGTCTTTAAAAAGGGAGAGAAATGGTTAAAAAGCAGCAATTTGGGGGTGCAAGGATGCATTAAAAGCTACATCCCATCCCAGGCCTGTGTTTGCTTTATGGATGTTCCCTATTTTTTCGGTTTGGGGCATGTTTTCGGGGCCGAGCTGGGAATAATGGACGGACGAACGTTGCATACCAATAGATCCCATGACTTTTCAGGCTTGTTTAAAGCCTTTCTTGCTTCGGCTTCACTCTTTCCAGCTGGTTTTCCCATTCTTCTCCTTCCTTCCCTCTTCAATATGGAGTTTGTTCACCGTCGCATGACAGCATGGGGATGACAATCACAGATGGGACCCCTGGGCTGGGAACTGGGGGGATGGATTTTTAGGGAAAAGGCTGTTTTGTGGGTTATCCTCCAAATTATCAGGTTTCCCCACTTCTTCCCTACCTTTTTTCCCTTAAAACCAACTCCATGATTCAGTTTGGCATCTTTGGGTGCACTTGACTGCACCAGAGCATCCAATGGAGCAGGGATGGGATAAAAATTCCCCACCTCCACCCCCTCCCCTTCAGTTTTGGGGATGATTTCCCAAGCATTCCATTAACCTGAGCACAGGAGGTCTCTAGCACCCACCCTGCATTTCTCAAGGTGTTGGCTGAACATCCCACCCGTGCTGATGCACCTAGAGGGCATCTTTGGGATGGGATTCCCTATTTCCCTATGGGCTCAGAGGACCCAGACTGGGGACCCCATTGTCTCTCCCCCCCCACATCCAAGGTCTGCTGGCGGGGGTGAACATCACCAGTCCCACGGCACTGGTGCGCGGCACGGCGGGCAAAGCGGCGCTGCTGTCGGTGCGCTACGCCAGCGCCAGCGCCGACAAGCCCGTGGTCAAGTGGCAGCTGAAGCGGGATAAACCCGTCACCGTCGTCCAGTCCATCGGCACCGAGATCATCGGCAACCTACGGCCCGACTACCGGGATCGCATCCGGGTGCTGGAGAACGGCTCCCTCCTCATCAGCCCCTTGCAGCTGTCCGATGAAGGGGCTTACGAGGTGGAGGTGTCCATCACCGATGACACCTTCACCGGCGAGAAGACCATCAACCTCACTGTGGACAGTAAGAGCAAGAAGGATGTTCAGTGGAGGTTGGGTTCCCTATGGGATGTCTTCCCTGACTGCTTTTGGGGAGGGTTTTCTCCAGCTGGGAGGCTCAATCACCCCAGCTGAAACTGGGAGGTGGCTTTTGGGGTTCAACCACACTGTGTAGCCAAGCTACATCCACCGTGGTGTTTTGATGCCCTCCTCCCCATCCCATGGTCCCATGTGTCTCTTGAGATTTGGTGTCGGCATGGTGTCACCAAGGTTTCCCTGCTCACCCACACCCCAAGCACTTTTGGGGAGGGCTTTACCCAACTAGGAGGTTCAATCACCACATCTCCAACTGGGGGGGTGGATTTTGGGGTGCAACCACACTGTGTAGCCAAGCTACATCCTCGGTGGCATTTTGATGTCCCCATTCCCATCCCCTGTGCCCATGCATCACCTGAGACATGATGGGTTTGGACCCATCACCATGGTTCCACTGCTCGCCTGCAGTCCCCATCTCGAAGCCTCAAGTACTGGTGGCCTCCTCAACGGTGCTGGAGCTCAGTGAGTTCTTCACCCTCAACTGCTCCCACGAGAACGGCACGAAGCCCACCTACACCTGGCTGAAGGATGGGCGGCCTCTGAGCAACGACTCCCGCCTGCTCCTCTCCCCTGACCAGAAGATCCTCACCATCACCCGTGTCCTCATGGCCGATGATGACATCTACAGCTGCCTGGTGGAGAACCCCATCAGCCA